TGCGACATTATACTACTATTGACTAAAGTACAGACTCGAAGTACGTTGGCCGGACCAACTATCCGGATGCCACATGCACTTGCCATGTGCGTCCCACCTTATTCGGATATTATATAATACCGGCGCTATTTGCTATCGCTATCTGCCCACAGCATGGATAGCGAGCCACATCATTTCGATTATGGCGGTGGAGCCGGCGTGAGCCGGCTCCGCAGCCAAGCCATCAGCTGGACAGTCGGCTTTGTCAGCTCAAGAGCCGGCTGATTTCCTGAGCTGCAGCTTAACGAGCCGGCTACCGGCTAGCCGAGCCGCGGCAACACTAGACGACGCAATAGTGGGCTCTACTAGTAGCGAAAATTTAAGGGAGCAGTAGTTGTTTCTCGTGATACTTAGCTTGGAGGTGTTGCCAATGTCAATATCCTTCCACTCTTACTTTCAAGTGCATTATCGGGGCTCCTCGAGGTTTCTTTCCCATGCCGTCAAGATTCAATACTTATTTGCTGTGTCGCTTGCATACAAATTCTAACTACATATTCATATATTGCTGAGGACCTGTGTCATTTCATCATTCGATTCAAGGGTGACCTGTGACCGTCAAATTTTAACACCTTTTGTCCTCGTGAGGAAGGACAAGGACAAAATAAGTGGCTATGAGGCTGCGCTTTCTTGAACGTTGATTTAAAGGTCAAGTGGCCAGATAGTATTCTTCAATAACGCATACTATGACTTACTTGTACACTCCCCTTTCCTCATACGATGACACTGCTAACGATATCAGATATCGAGCAGCAAGCGGTTGAACTCAATGAAACGGAGAGCAGCGACAAACCGAATTCGGAAAGCGGTGATCCTTCACTTTCAACCGAGCTAGTGAGTAATGATATCTAACACACGTATAACCTATGACCATCCTTCAGAGCATCCCAGAGCTGGAGATCACCGACAATCCAAATACGGATAACAACGATGTGTCCAGTTCGGTGAGTAATGACGCTTACCGGGAGCCTTTATACCTTTATCTAATCTTCTTCTTCGTAGACCGAATTATTTTGAACCGTTTAAATCACCTTTTGCTATATTATATCAAAGCCTTGTACTCTTCCTCGTGGGTGCCCTATTTGAGTCACTCCACGTAGGAACGGTAGAACCATCTTCATACTCCATTCACAATACGACATCTCCTGATATGCCACCTGCCGCCAACATTCTACCGCATCCCATAGTGGTTCTCACTCAAATGGAGATGGCAATCTCAGGCGCAATCAGCGGGGTAATAATTGCATGGTTAATGCATTGGGGCGTCCAACAAGGAGCCAAAAAAGACAGCGGGACACAATCCCACTGCCAGTGTTCAGTCGGAGAATGATCTTCATCAAGATATGGCTCTTCCAATATCTGGTGTCCACTGTTATCTTCAATTCATTAGTCGGGGTATTCCTTGGGGTTAGTTTGGAGGTGGCTTTGCTGGGCTCTGCTGCTTGGGATCTTGGTTGTGTTCTTTGGGATATTATTTTTAGCTTGGATTAGGAATCCTGAGCTATGGCCGCCTAGGTCCAATGGACATGTACAAGGAGCAGGCTCCTTAAACCTGAGGTTTATGTCTTCCCATGTAGTATAATCGAGTCCCATATTACAATGAAAGCCTTTAACCATGTACGTAAGTTTAACTGTCGAGTTCGAAATCAATCGGATCTAGAGATGCACAGGTACCTAATAAGGTAAGTATGTAACGCTTTGACCATGGAGTGATGGCCCATACTTTAGCCAGTTTAACACCTTTCGATCCACAAGGCTGTGAGACAGCCCCTTTTTCAAAATCGATTTAAAATCGAACCGAAATCTTTTCTGCATAACCACCATGACTTACACTCCTGTTCCATCATACGACGATACTGTTAACGGCACTGACATTGAGCAGCAAGCTGTTGAGCTCACAGAGACGGAAAGCAGCGATCCACTTGAACCAAATCCGGAAAGCAGCAATGCTTCGCCGGAGGCCAACCTTTGGTAAGTAACGAAACACCTAACATATATATTCAACTTGATCTTCTCCGTAGACCGACCTGACGAGTGCCAGCAATGCGAACCCTAATCCGACGGGCAACAATACTTAGTCAAAGCCCAAGTCTGTGAGCAACGAAATACAGCCCCTTGGTATTAATTTCACTCAACCTTCCTCATAGACCAGCTATAACGAGCCTTTTAAATCTCTTTCCTCCGTCTTTGTTTCAGCACAGTGTCAAAGCCTCGCATTCTTTTTCATTGGGGCCCCTTCGAGCTAAACCCCCCAGGCCATCCGCGCGCGCATCCCCAATCTGGATCCACCAATACGACATCTGGGGCCATCTCACCTTCCGCCGTCGACGTCCCCCTGTTTGCAATGACGGTTTATCACTCAAAATGAAGCTGGCAATCTCAGGCACTATCAGCGGAGCGATAATTGCATATATGTTCCGTTGGGCAGCCCAGCTTCGACTCAAAAAGCCGTCTACCAATGGAATGACGGAAGATGATTTTCATAAGGTCATGTTCTACCAATATATGCTTGCCACTCTTTTTTTGAATCCGATTATCTCTGCCTTTCTTGGGGTTAATTTTTGGGAAGCCTTTGTAATCACTGGCACCGGGTTCTTCGTCGCGTTTTTTGGCACTTGTTTTTTCGGTTGGGTCCTCGTTCCTGGGAGTAATTCTACTAGCAATTCCACAGTTGGGACTGTTTAGAAATCTAAAGAATGAAACTACACCCACACCGGCGGCCAAAGTTAGCTGCCCAAATTTCGAAATATGTTTTGCAATTTACGGTACCGAATAAGTAAAGTACGCTCGTTTCTTGATATATAGTATGGCCTACGCGAGATCAGAGTTAACGTAGGAAGTAATGGTACATACAGAGAACAGTGGAGGTCTGGAAGTGTCAAGAAACATGGGTGACGGATAACAAGCTAAAGTTCAAACGGACAAGAAATCATGCACTCGTCCTGTGCAGTAAGCGCTCGGATCGCTAGAAATACGGGCAAAGTCCATCGTTCTGGTTTACAAAGGAGAATCAGAAGGAATTTTGTCGATACAAACAGTCAGCCGCGATTCACCCGTTCTCCTTGCCCAGCGAATAATTTCACTCCCTCTACCGCTAGGTATCATCTGTGCCACTGTCTTTGCATACCCATTCGGATCGACACCTGCATGCAAATATACTTGGAAGCTCTTCTGACGATCACAAATCGTGATAGACGATCCTTCGCGAGTAATCATGTCTTTTCGCATCTTAATAAGGAATAGGCCGTCTCCGTGGATATTCGAAGGAATGGGTGGTGGATTTTTGATGCTTTCATTATCGTCAAGGCGGATGTTCGAGGCTAGGGTGGTTGCGGCGAAATGGAGCTCTGTGGACAACATGCTGAAGTTGATGTCCACCCATTCTTCGTTCTTTGAAGAGTTACACACGGGTTTGTGTTCCCTCCAGTGCAGCTTCTGGCATTCTATAACTGGATCGTTTTAGCGACAGGTCGTGAAAAAAGATAAGCGCTATTGACTCACCCGTTCCGCAATACTGCACACTATGGCATTGAGAGCACCTGCTCGTCGCCTTCTTTCCGCATAAGCCACACCCCAACATTCCGACGTCGACAGGAGTGATAGGGAGCAGGAACGACAAGACGAAGGGAGGCTTGATTCCCGATTGCTGGAGAGAGTAGTTGGAAGCAAGTCGTTGAGCATTCAGGTTGAGGATGGTGAGAAGGAGTTTCTGCGCTTCTGGACTGGCGGAAATCTGTACCACCCGCGACTGCGAAAATATGACCTCCTGGAGGGCAGGAAAAATCGCACTAATATCGGTGTCTCGGTTTCCGCAACTGTACATGAGCATCATGACAGGCGTTTTGCCAAGCGTGCGGACCTCTATGACCTTCAGCAGGATGTAAGCGATGAAGCCAGCGTATGGGGAAAAAAAAACTCGATAGACATACTTTAATGCACATCCCGTAGCTTTGACTCTTATCCTGTATAATGGCTGTGAAAACGCCACTGTCGAATCCATTGGCGAGCGACATCAGCGCTTGTCGAGCATCTATAAAAGCACTCTGTTGCACATGATGTTTCGTAGGAACAAATGGCTCGACTACGCTTTTTCGTTTGAGAAATTCTAGCAAAGTTTGTCCTGCGGTCTGCTTGGACCAAAGAGGGAGAGACAAAGGATCAAAGGGAGCTTTTTCGATGAGGTTGTCGAACGACTGAGAGGCATCTATGGCACCGTGAAATTTCTTTCCATAGCCTTCTCCGAAAGAAGAGTGGTAGAGCTGGTGTCAATTCCCATGGCATGCAAGAGCTTCAACTTTTCTTCCCTAGTAATATCGACTGGAACGATTTTCGAGTTGCTCGCGTCAGCTTGACGCTTCATATTGTACAGAGCCTGTTTTTCCCAGTCAAAACACGTCGAACAATCGATTGTATGGTGTTCTCTGCATTTGTATACGCGTTCTTTGGGTTTGCTTTCCTTCGTTTCGACTGCTTTCTTCAAGACATATGAGATGGGTGGCCGGTGATACTGATTAAAATAAATTATTTCAAGGCAGTTCAGGAATAATGTTCGAGGAATTTACCTTGATTTCATTCACGTCGAGGCCAGGGTACACTGCAGAAAGCTTGTCCGAAATTCGCATGCTATTGCAGTACCGGTGGTCGGTACAACATTCGTGGCAGAGTTCGCAGCCATGCTCGCGACAGAACATGAAGGAGCCGATATAAACGTCGTCGTCGTCCAGCATGATGCTCAATAGAAAGATTAAACGCGTCGGAGAATCGATGATCTAGTAGTGGCAAAGATGACTGTGATAGGATTCACGCGCGCTTATTGCAGACGCCAGATTGCGTTCAACACGCTGCTGTTACGCATTTGCGACTCGTTTGCAACCCAGAAGATACTGGATATGCCTTACAATGAAAATCTTCATTACTGTTGCACAAGCATAAAAAATTGCGAGCAAGTAACTCACCATCATCTAAGGTCCAACCAGGACTCGAACCTGGGTTACGGGAAGTTCCGAAAGGAGGATTCTCGAAATCTGCAATATCAGAATCCCGGGTGATAACCTCTACACTACTGAACCCGAATACATCCACAAATGATTCTTACTCTGACAGACATGAGTAGTAGGCGCCCTCAGAGAAGGATGAGTATTTACATCAATAGTACCTCTCGAATAAGCATACTAATAGATATTTAATTCACAGATAACTGTACAAGACACTACAAAGCCTGTATCCAAAGCAATAAAATAATACACTATCCTGAGCAATTATATGGCGCAAGCACAACAGAATGAGAATAGTCAAGCGAGTGAAAATAACAGCGAGAGAACCGCCAGGTGTTGATCATTGTACTATAGCTATATCCTCGTTCTGACTTTTCTCCTGATTCTTGAAGACGTGCTCAATTACTCCCGACGAGTCCTCTTGAGCCTCTATATCAGCGCTACCAAGGCCTGTGGAAGGATGTGACCTGACGACCACCCTCTGCGAAACGCAAGGTGGAGATTTTGGTAGCATGACCGGGCTTTTCGCTAGTCGAGACATTGATTATCGTCTTAAGACCGAATAACTTGTTCAATGCCGAACGGTTGATGATATGCATAATGATCACGGCCATCGCATATAGAATCTGAGAGAAGATACTGCTATCAGCGCTGGATCTTTAGACATTGCGGATAGACTTGCCGTGATCGCATTAAACATCACAGCGATGATACTCCAGGCGATATTGACGGGGGAGAATTGAGCGGCTGTAATGTTCATTCGTCCAAAGATAGCATAGAGCAGCTGGTGGTATTCATTCAGCATGTGAACTGCAACAGCTTGCGAGAGAAGAAGCAACCGACCTGGAATAAGAGGAGAACCGCTCCCGATTCGGTAAGCAGCAAGATCATCCTTTCCCAACGCTCTCGTCGGTTCTTGCATGTGCTGAAGTGTTGCTTCATCATTTCCGGGTTTTGTCTAGGATGAGTCGTCATTAGTCAGTGATTTAAGTGGGAAGGAGCACCAAGTATTACCCACCTCACTTGCTGCCAGATGAGGCCTGTAGCAGCAATGTTGACGACCAAAGAAATGAACATTTGGGCAGTCTCGAGGGCGGCATTTCCGCTCTTCCCGCCATTTTTGGATCGGACAACAGTCTGAACAATGGCGTTCGAAAGACACATACCTAGAATACAGTACTTGAGCTCCATTTCTGTTCACGTTGAATTCTCTTTCAAGACGTACCAACATTCACCCAGAACATCGTTATCAGCGCAGATCTAACGGCTCGGTCGTTTTTCCATACTGCCCACGCTCTCCATATGACTATACCATTTGCAAGGATGATCTGGATAATGAGGGTAACAAGACGTTGGAAACTAAATCGAGCAAAAGGACGTCGTCGACCTACATTAATATTAATCGGCCAGGCCATCATTGTGAACCACGGAACGATGGCTTGCTGAGCGGCGTCGGCTTGGGCTTGTAGCCCAGCCTCGAGAGGCTCCATGAGTGAAACCTTTATGTATATCAAGTTGAGCGAGCAATTGTTGACAAAGTCCCAGCTGGCCGTTAGCAAAGTCGTTGTGGAGCATAGGAATAAGATCTTTTGCATGCGCTGCTTCAGCCCGTGTTTACTATGTAACATGAGTGTCAATAGATGACCCAGAAAGATGAAGCAGTTGAACGAACGTACAAGAAGAGATACAGTGCAATAAACTCCGCAAGAAGGTAGAATCCTGAGGAGCCTCAGTAAAATTTCGCTCTTGTTTCGGACATAATTCAGGCTCACCATAGAGCGTACAGTCAACGATCAGGACGACGATGCCATAGTAGATGACAGTGCCGATCTGTGAAAGCAAAGCACTCTCGTCTGGAGTCATTGTGAAAGTGCTGGGAGGAGGGAAGCCAAGGAAAAGCAAAGCTGAAGCTGTTCCTTATAAGTAACAAATGAAGTATCAATCATCTGATCAGTGGCAAAATGAAGTTTGGGCAGTGGGTAGTGGCGTCCCATCCCGGTTCTATCCATCCACGTATACAGACAACCAAAACTTCTATCCTGTCATCATGATGTTGATGCGACCAAAATGCGACGAAACAATTATGTTTCTCTCAGGTCTTTAGCTCATTTTTCGCGCGGAGAAGGTCAAAGATAAGAACTGGAACCGGACCCGATGTATCGAATCGCTGTCAGGGCGCAGATAGCGGTCGGAGACTTCAAAACAGCATCTGTTTCGAAGTATCGATTAGAGCGTATTAGCCAGTTTGATACTAGAAACTGATTGCTGGAAATGCTCCAACAATACAAAATTCCTAATCGAAAAGTTTACGAGTGTGGCTAATACGCTCTATTCACAGGAATACTATTGCTGTAAATTCGAGCTCCCAACTACACTGAGACGTGGATAGTACGAACGATCATCATGGAATATCAAAATGTGAAACCAACAGATGTGGTTGCAATAGATTGCATTTGATACCGCCTTCAATGTTCCCAGTGTCTGTTCATTCAATGCAAGAAGCGTTCCTTATTTCGGGATAATCTTTACACATCTATTTTCGTTTTGGTCTTGGGATGAACAGAACCAGTCTTTCATATGAGTAAACGGAGATGAGTTGAACATTGCACTCCATTCGGGATTTCTTTAGTAGCTAGTAAATCTGAAAGGGATGTATTAGCAACTGTTTGCCAGTGGTGGAAAGAACTGTTTCATTATGCATCGAGGTAGCGGTATAGCGAAGTCAGAATGTTCCTTTCCGAGGCTCCTCATGTGAATACTGATCCGGTTGAGTTCCAGAACCACAACCGTAGGGACTCTCCGAGTCATTGGCACGATACATGATACAACCAAGTACGTGAATTGTGAGAGCAACGGTCAAAGGCATCGTTTCCGAAACTGGATGGATCATAGCAAGTACGAAAAAAAAACATCACAGACCTTCCTTATCCGAGTGCTAATTCCTTTTCTTCTTATCAGAACCACACGTAAGATCCTAGCTTGACAAGAGGTCGGCGAACAGGCTAGAGTCGAAAGTTGCAGATGAAGATGGAGGGAGATGAGATGAGATAAGAGGTCTTGACAATGTGGAAAATGATGAAGTCAGAACAACCCCGGCGAGCAGTGCAAGGATGAGCCAGTTTTACCCATCCGACTATTTTGGGAAGTAGGACTGAAGCCAAGGTAGATATTTTTGTTCAACGACGCAAATAACTCTTGTTCAAAAGCGAGGCTTTGGGAACGGAGAAAGCACTATGCTTCCGAAAGACTACTGCAGATCATCCGAGCTCCAAGAACGCTGATGGTAGGGGGAAAATCACCTAGCGCTCAAAGGTCGCGCGACTTCGAAGTGCGATACTGATAACACGAACTACTCAGCCTGAGGGAATGCGATATTATGTGCCTTGCCTTCCAAGTTCTAACTACCATAAGTTCCCCCAGGTCCAAGGTCCAGTCAGGACTTAACGGAAAACATGAATCAGTGACGAGTACAATGCTTAGATTGAATTTGAGTAGACATAGTGAATAAGCCTCAGGGCAGTTAAATACACACAATGACCATATTTATAGATATCATTTCCATCGACATGCCCAGGAAACCAGGCTTCACCACCCTCCCAACATCCCAGCGTAGGAGCACTCAGACTAGGCATTATTACGCACTAAGCCCCAAACTACTCAAATACGCCTTCCTCAATGCAGACTTGTCTCCCTCGGCGCTACGAGCGAAACCACTATTGGCCTCGGCAGGGGATCCCTGAGATGTGCAAGTGAATGTAGATGCGAGTGAGAATGCTAAATGCGGGCGAAAGCCATGAGACACCCACCTTCATCCAAAGGAACCCTTTGGCAGCGATCTCGGCGTCGATGATGTATCGGTGGTATGCACCCGCGGGGAGAGCGAGTACTAGTCCGGGAACAGCTGTGATGCGGATCCACGTGTTGGATGTAGGATCTGTTTTAGGTGTTAGTGAAGAACGAAGGAGTGGAACGAAAGAACAACCCACCTCGAACATCATAGAAACCTCCTCCGCTGGTAACGTAGAACATGATCTCGCATCCTGTGGTTTTCCTACATCGAGAAACAGTAAGTATGTAAATTTGGTTTGCCATTCGAAAAAAAAAAAACTTACTCTTGTGCATAAAATTGTTTCATCTGCTCGACTTGCTGTTAATCAAATATACGGTGAGTTAGCATGCATCGCAAATCGATGTATAAAGGGAGGGAGATGCTGGTCGGGAACAAAGCGGAAGCAGCGAAACTCATTCATGTACTAACCCCTTCCTGACCACCTCTCGCCGTCCATCGCTGAACAGGATCGTCCGGCATTGGTTCGGTAGTCTTGTATCCCCTCTCGCGAGCGATAGCACTGACTTGGGATTGGGAGGTTGATGTTACGGGGACGGAGGCCACCTAGAATAGAGATATATTTGGTATCGGTAGATTCGAAGGAGCTGGTAGAGGGACGCAACATACCTTGAACCCGAAAGAGTTCAAAGCCTCCGGAGTGACGGGTTTGGAGGGAGTCGAGAGGTAGTATGCTTGCATGATTGAGAGTCGGACTCGATGCTACTGTCTGTGGTAATTCGCAGACTCAGTGATGTATCGTTGGGCGAAGCCTGGGGGTTTTATAGGTAAGGATGCCATAGAAATGTATCATATGCACGAACCTACTAAGAGGCCTCCAACGTCCTCCCTATCTCCATAATTTCCTATTCCACGTCCGTCTTGTGGAATGCGAGCCCTAAAAATGTCTCCTGATTCATACCGTGTACATTGGTTTGAATTCGATATCCTATATTAATCAACCTCTCCAAGTGGTGTGAAGATTCTAGTGAAAGTTTGTGTGACAACATACAGTCGTCTAGCCTTTCTGCCACCAGCCATGGGGCCTGCAGCTATATTATCAGCACTTCTAAATCCACTGATATGTTCGACACCACAGACAAGTGTTGGACAGATGGAAGAGGAGGGAAAACAGTCGAAACGCGAAGCATAATTCGAATGCGCAGAACGCTGCTTGAGTCGATAAATATGGCTAAATTGCAACAGATACGATGATAATGTACACATTAGAACCTAGACATGCGCATAA